AGTATGTATTATGAAAATTTAATCATGGAAGGTACCTTCCACGATTTAATTGATCAGACCATGGAGGTATAAACAGAAGGTAGAAAATTTGAGCACATGGCAGACTTAGTTTTCGTGACCAAATTACGGGTCATGGACTCCGACCACAATGAGTCGGAAGTGAAGCACTTGTGCCCGGACTTGGCTACACGTAAAGCACGAGACAAGCAGCTGTAAAAGCGTGTGTGTGAGCATCCTTGTTTTACCTGTTTTATTTTTCTTAATCTTCACATTCTCAATAAATAATTTGACGGATTCAATGAAGTTAGATTTGTTATACATGATATAGAAAGTGAACTGAATGTAAGATACCGACAGTAGTCCCCGCCAGCAGTTGTCACACACTAATTTTGTCACAACAGTTTTGGGAAATAAAAAACGGAAAACACGATTTATGCGAACAGGTTATTTTACAAATCAACAAAATAATAACGGAGCAAACAAACTGAAAATTCACCGCCCGATCGACAGACAACTTTAACTAAGCGATCGCATCTCCCGATTCAGTTCAGCACTCGCTGTGACTTCTCTCCCCCTCATTGCCATTCAAATCAGATAATACAGATCTTCGTCGAGACATCTCGCGCAGTAAAAAAAAAAATCTTGGAAAGAAAACTACACGTAGTTGACTCTCGTGGTGCGTTCAGCCACGGTTATTGGTTCAGCAGCTGAGCAAGAGAATGACCTTCCATGGAGGGAAATGTATGGTACTGAGTCTTCCAGAAAAGGAGTGTCTCCTCCCACAACGTATTAATGAATATGTAAATCATGACGTCATTTTGGCGCGGCTTTGTCACGCCGTGAAACAGTGTTTCCTATTGGATTCGGGAGCATAATTTCGTACTTTATAACCAATTGTGACCACGCATATCCACACATCTGCGTGATTATGACAGACAGATACCATGACTATTCATTATGAGTTTGTTTTGATCAATGGGACAAACGGATTTTGAGTTAGCCGACGATACGTTGCTGCTAAGTTGTTTTTGCCGTTTTCTCGGTTAAACAAAACAACGATTCACGGAAACTGCAGGCCTTTGATCTCGAGTTTTAGTGTACGCATTATACTAATTTTTTGCACAGACACTCTTCGATATGTTCCCTCTCAAGCGGCGCTGAGATTGTTCTATTTATCTATCGCATTGTTTTTTCTAGATAGCTAAATTATTATTTCTTCTCCAACTATCATGTAGATATATATCTCAATTAACGCGGAATGGTGGTGAGCGTCGTCTGAAAAACTGTTTTGTTGCCAATGTTCCACTAAATTCGTTTATTCATTGGTTCAATTATTTTTTTACCGGCTTTCTGTGTTTACACAGAGATCACGTGACTATACACGTCCATACACACATTATCTTGTCATTTCAAATCCAGTGTGAAATAAGCTTTCCATCAATATATAGCTTTGTGTGGTTCAGTAAATAATTTATATGAAAATATCATTTTAGAAAATCAATACCAAAATGTGTACAGCATCCTTAATTGAGCATACTTACATATCCATCAAAGTTCCACTCAATTCCCATTCTTTCCAATCTCTTTTTCTTCTGGCGATCCTTCCTCTTCAGTTTCTTCAAAGACTTTGCCAATCTCTCCGGCTCTTTCACTAAATTGTTGTGTCTCTGTAAAGCTAGTTTATGTGCTTTAGGTTTTGAAAATTTCCTGTTGCAACCTCGAAATAACGCAGGCATCACTTTATCAGGAGGCAAATACTGACCTAAAATATACCACAAAGTCAATTTAATATCGATAATTGTAGAACAACTGTAAAAGTAGAAAGTCAAACAATGTTCAAATACAAGGTTTTATGGTTAGACAGTCATTTTGGGTAATTTTGGAAGGGAAGGGCACTGAGCTGAAAGTGACTTCGAAAATAGAAATGTCCTAAAAGTGGAGGGTGGGCTCTTACTTCAGAATGGAGAGCGGTAAGTTACTGTTTCCTTGTTTTTAACATAGGGGTTTTTAATTGGCTGACATTCAGTTTAAAGTCATACAAATTCAATTCTATATCCGTGGGTGAAAGGAGCAGAGATTGAACTAAAACAGATGGGAATGTTCAGAATTGCTTGTTTTTATATCACCCCTTGCAGCTCATTTAAAATGAAGGCCATTTTGTTCTATTCTGAAAAAGTAGTGACAGTTTACTTACATTTTAATAACTTATGATACATTAAATAATTATTCATCGTTTCTGCAACTATCTTGGCAACTTCAACAAACTCAAATTCGACAAAAGCATAACCTCTTGATTTTCCAGACTGGAATTTAAAAAAAAAATTAAATCACTGTGTTACAAGTTCTACAGTCATTAAACAGCTTAAGGTACTTTAGAACAAAACACACACATCAACCACTATCTTTCCCGGTAAACACTGGATGAAGAAAAGGAATAAGGACACAAGCAATATGAACCAGTTAAATTCAAACTATCAACCCTCAGTAAGTTCAAAGTCATTGCTAATGCATACCACCATACCTTCTTCCATTCCTCTTGCCATTGCTTGGTGACCTTGTAACAATTTTACTTCAGTTAATACAAGAATTTTCAATGAAATTTAATAAAGTCCTTATGAGGAGAGAAATGTGGTAACCCAAAAAATTAGTTTAAAGGTATTAAAATTATTAACTGGGTTTTAATTTTGCTGATAAGTGTAATCCACTAAGTACATATAAAAATGTTAAATTCCAATAGAACTCGTTGTCTCATTGATTAAACCATGAATTTAAAACCAAGTGAATACAATGAAATATCAAATATCAAATATCAAATTGATGAAATTAAATGCTTTCAGAGTACTTTGTATTTTTATTAATTAAATTAATAAGTATGAAAAATCTAAACAAATCTTGATAAATCAGCAGATGGTAAGTAATTCTATCCACAATTCCTGGACAGAGAGAGATGCTATACACTGCTTTACACTAATTTGAATTAATGACTTGCCTTTTTACTTCTGCTTAATCGTAATCTGTTACTTTCCCAATTGGGAAAAGAATTTATTCATCTGTGCCTCGTATAAACCATGGGGAATATGTCTGACATAAACAACACCACGTTCCAACTCTGATGTATCCTCCACCTGTAATAACAATATTTCACTAAAACAGTCAATGTAAAAATGAAGCATGAAATATTAAAAGACAACAATGAAGACGACATATAGACAGCATTGCAAACTTCTCAAACATAAAGTGCCCCATCAAGAA